TTTCCATGAAAATAATATAGTAGGCAAAGAAGGAAATTATCAGGGCAAACAAATCCACCCTTGAAATAGTCCTCATTCTATTGCATAATAAGTGACTTAAATTTATATTTTTTGATGACTGCTTATGTCTCGTGAATCTCTAGAAAGTATTCAACTATAATTAGAAAATAATAAAAATTAATCATACATTATGATGGGAAAATAACTATGTATAAAGTACTTAAGTAGACTAAAGTCTTTTTGACTATAGCAAATCAGTTTTCAAAGAAAATAAGATTTTCCATTTTCTTAAGATTATTTCAAATAAATCATAAAATTTTGAAAAATAATTGTTAGAATTTAAGAAATGTTATCACTTATTTAATAACTAAAATGCCAGATCTCCACAAAATGTAAACATTATTTATACTCAAGTAAAGCTAAAATGTTTTGAAAAATATTTCTCATATAATATTAGAGGCCTACAGTTCCCTCTACTGAACCAATTATTTTGCAGTACAAGCATACACTTCTTTCTATAAACAAATAATATTATAAAATCCATTAAGAACCAGATTTTGGAACTTTGCATCAAAAACCAAGAATAAAATATATCATTTGTCATAATTCTTAAAAATGAACACAATCAATTATGTTTTATTAGAGACAAGTGGTAAAGAGATACTGGTGATGAAAAACATCACATACATTTTTTTGGGAAAAATAATGCAAAAAAATGGGAGCAAATTGTATCAAAGAAAGAGCTAAGCCTTTGAAATACGTATATACACACACAAAAATCACTAATAATACATTCCAATTACAGCAACTTTAATCAGACTTTAAGAGGTGGTTTTAAGTATTGTGGCTAAAGGGGAAAATCCTATACAAGCATCTCTACTGATAGATTCTCTGCAGAAAACCTGAAGCACAAAAAATAATAATTACTGAAATCAGTTTACTGAGCCAAATAGTGTCCAAATATAATTTCAACTGTCGTCAAATTGTTTATGGTTGTAAAGTTTTGTATCACTAGAAAAAGTTTATCACCATCAGTCTCTAATGGACACCTATACCTCATTTTGTGTGACTACTCATGGGAAGCTAAACTTTAGAGACCTGTAAAAGGCAGAATGGAGTGAAATGGATAAAATGTGTATCACAAATAATATTTGATGATACCCAAGTTTTCTAGGAGAGCCTATTACAAGGTATGGACTTAAGATGAACTTTGGCAGTGTGGAGGATTTAAATAGATGGAAAGCATGAACGAGAGCCCTTCAAATTTCTCAGCCAGAATTAGCAACTTACTGAGGGAATGAGAAAAGCAGGACAGACTAATATTGAGAAAGTATTCAAGTTTTGGATATATAATTTCTTAGAAAGTGGCCAAAGTAGACTACAGGTTGGAGATTTGTGTTGCAAATATTAGTAAAAATTTACCGTTTAAAAATATGTATGGGGGCCTCCCTGGTGGCGCAGGCGGTTGAGCGTCGCACTGTGAAGCTGTCGCAGCCTCTGCAGCGAGGGTTCGATCCCGGCCGGCCAGTTGGTAGGCAAGAATCCCACATGGCTAGGCAGACCTCTCCTGTCTCGCTGGCTGCTCCCCTCAGCAGTGTATTTCGTCCGTCTGCCTGTCACCCTCCCGTATATCTGGCCTGTACCCCAGTTCTTATATAAAAATAAATCTTTAAAAAAAATTATTAGAAAAAAAAATGTATACCATCTCCCTGGTGGTGCAGGGGGTTGAGCGCAGTACTGTGAGGCTGTCCGCAGTCTTCGTGGCTACAGTTCCATCCCCGGCTGGCCAGGGAACAACACACAAGGCACTGCAGACCTCTCCTTTCTCCCCCGCTGCTCCCCTCAGCAGTGTATTTCAGTAGATCTGCCTGTTCTGCTTCCCGCTCTCTCTGGTGAATCCTCTCACCCCCTGCGACTGTGGCCTGTACCCCACTTCTTAAAAAAAAATAAACAAAAATAAAAATAAAAATATGTATATGTATATAAATCTTGGAGAACCTTGAAAGTCAGCACATGATTTTGTGAGCAAGACTCTCTGACCTATTAATAGCAGTATAGAAGATAAATCTGAACACACTGGACAGAATAAGTTAGAGAATGACCTGAGACAGGGAATACCAGTAGGTGGTGAAGGACTGAGCCCAGAGTAAAAGAAATAGAAAAGGGGGGTGGGGGGACTAGGGAATGATGTGGGAAAAATTCAAAGGAAATATCAATATTAAATACCAATAGCAATTAGTGACAGATTCATTACATTGAAGAGAACAGCTGTCCCTTTGAAATTAATTGACTAAGAAAATTGTGGCATCATGCTCAGAAATGAATTTGGGAAGGGGATTTAGTTGGGAGATGGGGCAGTAAGAAATGTGGAATGGAAGCACAAGTGAGAAGTCAAGCATGGACAAACAGGTGGGATCAACATTTTTGTGGTAGATGAAGCTGTAAGGGGATGTGAGCCCTCCAAGAACAGCAGAAGGAAGACATAGCTCAGAATGCTGAAGACTGAGACTTGTGAAGATTGCTAACTCTCTCTTCAGCAAGAGGAAGGGGAAAGAAGAGTTGTGGGAACAGAGGAAGAACACCGAGAAAAATAGAAAAACAGTATTAGTATATGCCATCAAAGGAAGAGAAAGCTTCAAGGAAAGAACTGTCATGTTTAACATGTTGCCTCCTGCATTGGACTATGTGTGTTCAAATCCTACCTCTGTCACCTGTTAGTTACATGTCATCTCAAATGATTTTTTTTTCTTAGTTTCATTTTTTAAAAGATTTATTTACTTATTCATATAAGAACTGGGGTACAGGCCAGAGGTGTGGGGGGTGAGAGGATTCACCAGAGACAGAGTGGGGAGCAGAGCAGGCAGATCGACTGAAATACACTGCTGAGGGGAGCAGCGGGCAAGCCAGGAGAGGTCTGCTGCACCATGTGGATAGCTCCCTGGCGGGGGATCGAACTCATGCTGCAGAGGCTGTGGACAGCTTCATAGATTGCGTCTTAACCCCTTGCGCCACCAGGGAGGCCTTTTAGTTTCATTTTTGAAATGATAATAATATAATCTATCTTCTAGGGATAAGTAAGAAAACCTATACAGAATACTTAGCATAGTATCTGGTACAGATAACTTAATAGGTATAATTGACACTTAAGGAAACAATAGTATGTCAAGGGTAGAAAAAAAAAGTTAAAAGAGCTCAAAAGACTAAGACTTGAGAGGACAATAGGTATGTAGAGTTTACCAGAGCTACTTTGCCCAAAAGGAAAGAGATCACAAAACAGTTGTTAGAAGGAGCAATAGAGTGGACACAGGCTTTGCTTAAGTTTGTTCTATACTAGCTGTGGCTTGTCATTTCATGAAAGTCTATTTAATTAGAGTTGAGCCAAATTTCCATTTGCATAAAACCATTTGAACATTTCCAGAATAGAATCAAATAAATGCACAACTATAATCAGTCCAAATATACACAGGCAGTAAAATGTTACTCCCTCTGTGGAAAACAGTATGGTGGTCCCTCAAAAAATTAAAAATAGAATTGCCGTGTAATCTAGCAATCCCACTTCTGAGTATGTACCCAAAAGAATTGAAAACAGAGACACAGACACATATTTGTACACCCATGTTCAGCACGGCATTATTCACAATAGCCAAATGGTGTAAACAATCCAAATTTTTATCATCAGATGAATGATAAAAGTAAAAGTGGTAAATACATGCAAATAGGATATTATTTCACCTTAAAAAGGAAGGAAATTCTGACATATCCTACAGCATGGATAAACTTTGAAGACAAGTGAATTTAGTCAGACACAAAAGGATAACAATTGTAAATGATTCTACATATAGATGTACCTAGAGTAGTCAAATTCATAGAAAGCAGGAGCTGGGGTAGGAGGCAATGAGTTGTTTAATGGGTATAGAGTTTCAGCTGGGGAAATGAAAAATTTTGGAAATGGATAGTGGTGATGCCTACAAAGCAATGTGAATGTATTTAATTAGTAAATGTTTTAAAATATACAGTTCAAAGATGTAGTATTTTTAAGATTGATTTATTTATGCATGCAAGAGCTAGGGTATAGACCAGAGATGTGGGGGGGGGGTGAAAGGATTCCCCAGAGACAGAGTGGGAAACAGAACAGGCAGACTGACTAAAATACATTGCTGAGGGGAGCAGTGGGCGAGACAGGAGAGGTCTGCTGCGCCATGTGGGTCACCTCCCTGACTGGGGATCGAACTGGTGCTGCAGAGACTGCAGATTGCACCACCAGGGAGGCCCAGGTGTAGTTTCTTTCTCTATTAAAAGCAGACAAAGCATGTCAATTGTTGTTTATTTGTGCATAAAATTGTTTACCATCTATGGATTTTCATTTTTTTGTTTCCATTTGTCCTGGAACTTTTTATAGCGAACTATAAAAGTTTTATCTTCTACAATTAGAGTAGATAAATAGATGCAGATATAATGAAAGAGTTCATCAAATTGCTGTTAATGATCATTTTTATTTGGAAATAAGCTAATGTCAAATAATTCATAGTAAAAAAACAATTCATAGTAAATTCTGCTGTAACTCTTATTCTATCAATAAGAGTTGTGCGACATGGAAGACATTCATGTAATACTATTGAGTTAATGACTTGTTTTGTATGACCCCCTTATTTATTTATGCAAATGTGTATTACATTTAAAAAGTTCTGTAAAGAGACATTCAATATTCTGGGGTGATATCATTAGGGGATTTTTTTAAATTTTTATTTGCTTCTTGATCTCATCTACTTTTTTTAATGAACAAGTATCCTGGTTTTTTATGTAAAGGACAATTATTTACAATAACAAAAATCAGAGATGATGTCTAGCCTTGGGCTTGTGTAACAATAGAATTCGTCTATCTTATGGTGTAGTGGCTCCCTAATATTAAGAGTGTCAAACAGAGGCTGGGTGACCTCCCGTCCAGAATTCTGTCATTTTATGATTCAAGATTCTCATTTTATTTTTTCTCCTGCCAATAGGTCAACCCAATCAATGCCTCAGACAGATAAGCAAATATGCATCCCCCCGGAGTTGCCGGAATTGCTGAAGCAATTTACCAAAGCCGCCATTCGGACCCAGCCACAAGATCTCATCCAATGGGCTGCGGAGTACGTACACCTTTCTCACCGCCCGCTCCCAACTCAGGCTGGAGGTGGCGTTGGGGGTAGAGGATGTAAGGTGTTGGAAAACTGGAGGAGGTTGTCATGGCTGCAGCCTGAGTCAGGACTGATTAGCATAATCTTTCTGATGTTCAGCTTTCCCGTTCCTTTGATGCTTTAAAATTTATGTATGAACACAAATACATTAAACTGGGTGAGGATGGGGTCCTCTGCCCCTAAGCCAACCAGACTCAGCAGTAGGACGCCGCAGCAATAGGAGCAATCTCCAAGGGCTAGATCACTACATCCCAACATCACATGCACACTCCACCTGGTCCCGGTACCCACACCTGCTATCCCAGTAGAATGAAGGGTTCCGCAACCGGTAGGAGCTAAGCCGGCTTTTCCCGGGTGTAAACCAGGACCCTGTTCTCGGGTCTCACCACTAGATGGTAGCAGAGCACCTGGGGGAGGCATGAGGCAAGCCGGCGGGATGGAGGGTGTGGCATCAGCCCAGGCTGGTGCACTCCTTATTTTTCCTTTAATAAGACACCTTCTTCCACTCCTGTTAAAACTTATTCTTGCTCCCAACCAGAGACACTTTGCAGCTTGTCTTTGGGGAAAATTGTTTTCTTTAGTGTTTCTTTGAATTGATTTCTTCCTCAACATAAAGATGTCCACACGGTACACTTAGCATTCTGGAGAAAGAAGGCAAAATAATCACCAACGCAGTGGGAGCACCAGCCTGGCTAAACACGGTGTGTCTCAAACACAAGTGCCCTCTTTCAGGAGAGACCAGAAGCTGCTCAATTGAAGGAGCTGACACAACAATAGTTGCTACCCGGGATTGAAACAGCTATGAAATTACTTCTTTGACAAGTGTGCCTGCTTGAAACTGGAGCTTGGGGAAGGAGGTGGCAGCGAGTTAGACCTCCTGGACTGTTTTCAGGCTGTTTTTACTGTTTGATGATGACCAGCTTAGTAGTGTTTCAGTGGAAGGCGGGAAGTAAGAGACATTGCTGAGCAGAGCCAGTTGGTGGGGAGAAGGGAGGCTGTCCTCAGCAGGAGGCTGGGTGAGTGTAATGAGCAGGTGAATGGCCTTTGATATGCACAAAATGTAATCTAAGAGAAGCCTTACAGAGTTTTTGAGCCAAAGCTCTCATGCTCCAGGGTTGGGCCAGGATGACGCTTTTACAAATGGAAAGAAAATAAGCCAATGGTGGTAGTAAAAAGGGACACAAGTAGGGTTTCTTTGCTAGTAATGAGCCTTGTTTAATTTTTCATTCTAAATTGTGTGTTTCCTCTAAGACTGTACTTAGAAGACTAATTTCTTCTGGTATACTCAGACTTTGTCTTACACTAAACAATAGTTTAAAACCCCCTTTTATTATTTTGGTGCTGCTGTTTTGTAGCAAGAAAAATGACATTTCTTGATATTGTCCCTGACATTTATGGAAGAAAACATTCCACTGTTGTAACCTGTCTGCTCCCATATTGTATCACGTGCTATAATTTTTTTTAGATAACCATGAGGAGTCACTTGTAGTTTAACTACATTGAAAAAATGAGAGCATGACCTCAGAGCACTCTCCATCCTATTTAGACACGAAAAACTCTCATCAGGTGGTTTTATGTGACAAACAAACCTGTAGTATTTCAGAGAATAGGCTCCACAAAATATTTCCAACACAAAGAAGATTAGTTCCTCACAAGCAAGGATTTCCCTAAGTCTGAAACCACCTACCAGGCATCAGCAGGGCAGGTAAACTAGTCTGGAGGTAGGTATGTGTGTGTGTGTGACAACCCAAACTCACAATATATGTGAATAACCATGGGATTGTTCATTGCAAATGAAGCTAAATAACCCACATGGACTAAATCCACGGCTGCAGCCTCATTTATATGTTCTCTAACCAACTCCACTAAAAACTGCAAACTCATTCCTGCTGAATTCAATTACTGGGCAATTACTTCTGTCAAATGAGGTGCCTTGTTTTTCTCTCTCCTATTCACATCATCCAAATCTTGTTCTACAGCCGGAGGCCATCACCCACCCTTATTGTCATCCAGAACCCACATCCTCCCCAACAATGCACTCAGGCACATTGTTAAAGATGACCTTCAAATCAGGCTGATGACCTCCAAGGGTACCTGGAAGGTGTTGTCTTAGTCCTCTTGCTTTAGAGCTGTATTGCTGTGTGGCTTAGAGACAGACAACAGGCGCCCATCATTTTTCGGCTTGACCCTAAAATGGGCTTTTACAAAAATTCCCTCTGTGTTCTTTTTATGTTACTTGCATCAAGAGAAAGTTGTGAAAAGAAAACAAAGAGGGGCAGAGGCTTATGATGAAGGGGTAGTCAATAACAAGACTTTTGATGGAGCGAGACCCTCTCATACAGCAGCAGTGACATGTTTCAAGTGCTTGTGTCCATTCCCTGCTGCAAGCAGCTCCTTTTCATCTTTTTGCCAATCTTGGAACAGAACTTGATATTTTTATCTCACAGCACCAAAATAAAGTCCACTTCACAAAACAATGGTAGGCAGGCAGATTTTACTGAAATTTTTCAGGGAAGGTTATCTTAAATGCTCCAAGGCTTGTCTTTTCACCTGAGCCTCAGTGCCCTGCTTTTCTCCTTTTCCTCTTGAAGACCCAAGCCCCAGCCCAAACCCTTCATGGCTCATCCCTAGAGCACATCCCTCTCTGTCCCTTGCTTAAGCAAGTCATTTTAGTTCTCATCCAACAGCTCCCTCTCTCAAAGACACCACCCACTACCTAACACCAACTTAAAGTATACTGAACTTAAAGATTTTTTTTTAAAAAGACCTCGATTCTAGAATTCATCCAAAAAGAGTAGGGAATTTAAAATAATGATTTGCTTTTCTCCCCTATTGTATACATACATACACACAATATATATACATAAATTATATATGTGTACAGTTACATATATATCATAAAAAATATCTTGTGTGTGTGTATGCTCTCGGGAATGCACATAAAACACTTAGAGGGATGACTGAAAAAAAAAACTCACATGCGTCAGAGAATTCCGTACCAAACTTTTATTGATTATGCTTCATTCCTAGAGAGGAAGAATCTTTTTTTTATTCCCTAGCACTCTTTACACCTTAAGTGGAAACTAGTACTTTCAGGCTTTTCTTGTGTATAAATGTACTAACTAAAAACTGAGTCTGATATATTGTAGTCACTTAATCAATGTTTTTTCCTCTATCCTCATCTCTCAAAAAAAAAAAAAAAGGTGGGAAGGGGATTCCTAAAGAAGCCAGAGGCACTGGGGTATAGAATGACACCCCCTCACCCCATGATTTTTCTCTTGTAGTTATTTTGGAGCTATGTCCCGGGGAGAGATCCCTCCAGTGAGAGAGCGGTCTGAGCGTGTCACTTTGTCTAACTGGGCAGAACTTACACCTGAGCTGTTAAAGATCCTGCATTCTCGGGTAAGGTCCATGCTGCAGTATATATCACCCTGGAATATGTGTTGTGGGGGAGGAGGGCAATATGGAGGCTGTGTGGGCATAGAGAAAATGCAACCATCCCCCTACCAGCCAGCTGGCCCATCATCATCATAAACTTCACTAAACCACCCACTGAAAAAAAATTGGAGAAATAGGAATTATATATATTGAAGCAGGCTATAAACCGAATGAGTCGTCAGGCGGTCACCCCAGATTTCGCTGAAAATGGCAGAATGTCTCACTGCTGCATGGATCTTTTCTCTCTATAAAGTGCAGATCCAGGGCCTCCCCTGGTGGCGCAGGTAGTTGAGCACAGTGCTGTGAAGCTGTCCGCAGCCTCTGCAGCTTTGGTTCGATCCCGGCCGGCTGGCAAGAGTCCCACATGGCACGGCAGACCTCTCCTACCACGCCCGCTGCTCCCCTCAGCAGTGTATTTTGTCAGTCTGCCTGTTCTGTTCCCTACTCTGTCTCTGGTGAATCCTCTCACCCTCCCGCGAATCTGGCCTCTACCCCGGTTCTTGTATAAATAAATAAATACCTCTTTAAAAAAAAATAAAGTGCAGATCCAGGTCTCTTGACTTTCTTATTGATCAAGATCACAACATTATGCCAATTGCAGTTGGGGGTGGGGGAGAGTGGAATATTAGTTCCCCAATTATCCCTAATGGAGTTACAGCCAACATTTAGGGAAAACCCGTGCTCTCGTAATAGCCACATCATCCTAGAAGCTTCCCAGTGACTAGATGGGGAGGGTCTGGCTTGAGAAAGCATATGTTTTGATTGACCAATCCCCAGAAAATATGGTTTAGCATTTTGGGATCCACTGAGGACAGATCCCAGGACAGAGAGGTTTGGGACTGACTTAGCCAACTGCCCTGGTCCCAGAGACTTAATATTTCACAAGAATCAGAGGGCCAGGCAAGGTTGATAGCATGTCACTGGGACATCTATACCCTTAGTACATTGTTGGCCAGTAACTGGGCATTGTCATCCTTGCACAGTAGGTAAGGCGGAGATCTTAGTTACCTGAGACCAAACAATATTAGACATCCAGACCACAGACCCCCATGTTATTACTGGGACAGCCTGAGGAATGCATGAACTAGAAGTTCTAGCCAGAGGTACTGGAGTATAGAATGATCCCCCTATCCTTCCTAAGGGGATTCTTCTCCCCTCTCAAATAAGGTCATTTCTTTGTTCATTAGCCAAGAGCCAGGCTTAGTGCAAAAGCTAGTGCAAAAATTCTATGGAGACTGGAAGCCAGTGATTTGACATCTAGTTCTAGTCTCACTACTAATTAGTAGTCTCACACAAAAAACCTGCTCCTTGCCTTGAATTATGGTTGTTCTATTTGCCTTATAAGGATAACCTAGGGAGAAAACAACAGATAATAAAAGCATCTGGGAAAAAAAAGTAATATAAATGTATATTTTTCCCATAATTCTGACATCTGAAGTTTAAATGGCTAAACTTTAACTTAGTTTGCTCCTTTCCAGGCTGAAATTTTCTCTACCCTTGCAAGGAAAACTGCCAGAGATGTGGTCACAACTCCCCACCCCAAAATCCCAAACATCCCTGCCCCTTGCTGAGTGCTGGAAGAATGGGGGAGAAGGGGGGGACAGGACAAGGTGTGCACAGGTAGGTGTTTCTCAGAGAAACATTCTCTCATTCTGTCCTTATTCTTTGTCTTGTGTCTGCCCCCCCCCCCCCCATGCAGGTTGCTGGCCGGCTGATCATCAATGCAGATGAGTTGGCCCAGATGTGGAAGGTGCTGAGTCTCCCAACAGATCTGTTTAATAGTGTGATGAAGGTGGGCCGCTTCACGGAGGAGATTGAGTGGCTCAAGTTTTTAGCCCTTGCTTGCAGCTCTCTTGGAGTTGTAAGTTAGATTTAATATTTTTTGTTCCTTAAGGGACTTGTGGGCCTGGAAGGGCAGGACATCTATACAGTCAGCTCCCCAGGGCTGATGATGAGCACGCCGTTCTTGTCTATTCCTTCTCCCTTCTGAATTAAGATCACTTCTCTGTTCATCAGCCAAAAGCTGGGGTTAGAAGAGAGAAGGGAAAACTGTCATCAGGTTCTGGGGAGAGGATGACTAAAATGTGGCCTTGGGATTTTATATGAATTTTAATTATTGCACTCATTTATTTCTGTCACCATTCCATCCCCTCATTCGTATTCCTAGAGATAACCAAGACCAGCTGTAGAGTGAGATTTGCTTATGCTTGGGTTCCAGACATCTAGAAGCTATACCAAGGGACTTTCAAGAAGAGGTAGCATTACAGAAACCTCTATTTGATAAGCATAATTGGATACAAAAATCCAAGATGATAGAGCAAGAAAGAGAGATGAGGCTATTTCTAAACTTATAGTCATGACATCACCAGGGAATGCAGAATGTTCATACAAATTCATGCATTTTCCAAATTGGACTCGGTTTACAACTGGAAAAGCATTTTTCCTGTTTTAAAGAAAAGGATACTGTAAAGAGTTCATTTCTATATGTATATATTCATATATATGTAAATACATATGTAGAGATCCTGAGACTTTAGGTATCATCCTATATAGAGACTCATTCTTGTTAAACATGGTTATATTAAATGAAAATGAACCAGAAATACAGTTTTTTTTAAATCCCTGAAATATATATATATATACTCAAGGTTGTAAGTTAATGAGGGGCTGCGTGCTCCTGGTCTCTGCTTGCTGCACGCCGTCCTCCTCCTCTTCCTCTTCAGCTCACGTCCCGGTCCATGCACCCAACCAGTCTCGCCAAAGCCCTGCTCTCTCAGGATCAGCAGTTCCAGAAGTTGCAGGAGTGGCACCGCAAGAACCGCTCAAATCTCAACTTGCGCCACCTTTTCGAAGGGGACAAGGAACGCTTCAACCGCTTCAGCCTGACCCTCAACACCAACCATGGGCAGATTCTGCTGGATTACTCCAAGAACCTTGTGACGGAGAATGTAATGCAGATGCTGGTGAACCTGGCCAAGTCCAGGGGTGTGGAGGCTGCCCGGGATCGTATGTTCAGTGGGGAGAAGATTAACGTCACTGAAGACCGGGCAGTGCTGCACGTGGCCCTGCGGAACCGGTCAAACACACCCATTCTGGTGGATGGCAAGGATGTGATGCCAGAAGTTAACAGGGTCCTGGAGAAGATGAAGTCTTTCTGCCAGCGCGTCCGCAGTGGTGCCTGGAAGGGGTACTCAGGCAAGGCCATCACGGACATCATCAATATCGGCATCGGCGGCTCTGACCTGGGCCCCCTCATGGTGACAGAAGCCCTCAAGCCGTACTCTTCAGGAGGTCCCCAGGTCTGGTTTGTCTCTAACATCGATGGGACGCACATTGCCAAAACCCTAGCTGTACTGAACCCTGAGACCTCTCTGTTCATCATCGCCTCCAAAACCTTTACCACCCAGGAGACCATCACAAATGCAGAGACTGCCAAGGAATGGTTTCTTCTGTCGGCCAGGGATCCTTCTGCAGTTTCGAAGCACTTTGTTGCCCTGTCTACCAACGCGACTAAAGTGAAGGAGTTTGGAATTGATCCACAAAACATGTTTGAGTTCTGGGATTGGGTAGGAGGCCGCTACTCGCTGTGGTCAGCCATTGGACTCTCCATTGCCCTGCATGTGGGGTTTGACAACTTCGAGCAGCTGCTCTCAGGGGCTCACTGGATGGACAATCATTTCCGCAGAACACCCCTAGAGAAGAATGCCCCTGTCTTGCTGGCTCTGCTGGGTGTCTGGTACATCAACTGCTTTGGGTGTGAGACGCAGGCCATACTGCCCTATGACCAGTACATGCACCGCTTTGCTGCCTACTTCCAGCAGGGTGACATGGAGTCCAATGGGAAGTCTATCACCAAGTCTGGCACCCGTGTAGACCACCAGACGGGCCCCATTGTGTGGGGGGAGCCAGGGACAAATGGCCAGCATGCCTTCTACCAGCTCATCCACCAAGGCACCAGGATGATACCCTGTGACTTCCTCATCCCGGTCCAGACCCAGCACCCGATAAGGAACGGTTTGCATCACAAGATCCTCCTTGCTAACTTCTTGGCCCAGACTGAGGCCCTGATGAGGGGGAAAGCAATGGATGAGATCAGGAAGGAGATGCAGGCTGCAGGAAAGAATCCTGATGACTTTGAGAAGCTGTTGCCACACAAAGTGTTTGAAGGAAATCGCCCAACCAACTCTATTGTGTTCACCAAGCTCACGCCATTCATTCTGGGAGCCTTGATTGCCATGTATGAGCACAAGATCTTCGTACAGGGTGTCATCTGGGACATCAACAGCTTTGACCAATGGGGAGTGGAGCTGGGAAAGCAGCTGGCTAAGAAAATTGAGCCTGAGCTTGATGGCAGCAGCCCAGTGACCTCTCATGATTCCTCCACCAATGGGCTAATCAACTTCATCAAGCAGGAGATCAAGGCCTGAAGCCAATAAACTTATGCTCCACTGCAGCCTCTGTTGTAACTGGTCCTTCATGTCCCTCCTCACCAGAGTCTGGACTGCAGGGTCCTGCCCAGAGAACTGACTGGTTGCTGGCTTAGATCACAGCCCTTTGGGGGATGCTGCTCTGCACCCCACCATGTTCACAGGCCCTCTGTTTTACAATTAATTGGAATGTTCAGTGTAACTGACCTGTATTCACATTGTTCCTACACCAGGTAGAAAAATAAAGATGCCTTCAAGGAGAAGGAAAAAAAAAGTTAATGCAAACATTATACCTCTGCCAAAACCAAATAGTATGAAGAGGTAGTTTTGAATCATTCAGCATATCTAAACATCACGTTCTTTCTCCTTAAATATGCTTGGAATGCATATTTGACATTTTTGTTTCTGGGAAAAAGTACCAGAAATACTGTAGACCAACTTTTCCTATCAGTTTCCCCTGCAGCTTTCATCATAATTATAATGAATAAATTACTCTCCTCCAAAGAGGAAAGTTGCTGCAGGGGCAGATGAGTTGCTGGTCAGCACTATCATCTTTTTATGGAAGTAATCCCAAGGGGAAAATCCCAGAAGGGAAAATAAAAAATTGGCACATTTTATTAAGTTCTTATAGGGTCACAGATTTACTCATTGCACAGTCCAAAATGTTCAGGTCTCCCCCCTAAAGTAATTAATTCTGATCTTCCTGATCATTCTGAGGGTAGAGTAAGAAAATAAAGTCAATCCAATCCTAGAATTTTAGACTGATGTAATAAATGAAACAACTTTAAGGCAAATTGCCCAGTCTCTCAGTTTCTCCTCTCCACTCCTCTCTTCAAGGTGGCAGTTGAGCCTTCAGGGAAAGGGGCAACTCAGCACCTCAGACCTGCCAACTGAAGCCTTTCCCACATCCCTTGGTTCTTCCTGTCATCTCTGAGCTCATGGAAACACTCATCTGTGTGGTCATCAGCTACTTGCAGCTTATGTCTTTGGTCTCTTCTCTCTCTCAGCACAGTGGTTTGCCACTAGTTCATCTCCCTTCTTCCTGGTGCTTGCTTGAATCTCTTTCGGGTTGTTCTCATCTTCTCTCTGGCTTCACCACCTTGAGAGAAGACTGACCCTCTCTTGTCTACTAACCTCACTTAAGTAACCAAGAGTGACTTTGGAGAGCCAAATTCCAACCCTTCCTACCACTGAAAGTTGGTAGGCTTATTCTAATATGGCTGCCTTCCAGATTGTGGAAGAGAAACCCTGAGGTGAATTATATCTTTCTACCTCCATCTAAAATGAGGATGCTGGGTTAGATAGTCCATGAAGTTCTTTCATTTCTAACATCCTGTGTTTCTTTCCCCCTTCTCTGCTTCTGCTGAGACATCCTGAGGCCCGACTCTGGACAAGAGGATTCAGAGACCCTAGCATGTTTGATTTTGCCTCTCATCATCCCTATGTCAAAGACTACTTAGGGATCAAGATCCCTAAGTAAGGGGTGCCTTATGAATCCAGGGACCAGTACCCCTTGGTTTCATGTTGGAATGTTGCTGGAGGCTTTGCAATCTAGTTAATCCTTATATCCTCCTAGGAAAGCAGAGAAATTCCCTCCTTCCTTTGCCAATTAACCAGCTAGCCATGATCTCCATGCCATTAGAAAATCCAATTTCTTCCTCACAGAAGAATGTAATGGCAAAGGGCCTCCCTGGTGGCACAGACGGTTGGGCGCCGTGCTGGGAAGCTGTCCGCAGCCTCTGCAGCGCGGGTTCGATACCGGCTGGCTGGTGAGGGTTCCACATGGTGCTGCAGACCTCTCCTGTCTCGCCCGCTGCTCCCCTCAGCAGTGTATTTCATCAGTCTGCCTGTTCTGTTCCCTGCTCTGTCTCTGGTGAATCTTCTCACCCTCCCACACATCTGGCCTGTACCCCAGTTCTTCTATAAAATAAATAAATCTTAAAAAAAAAAAAAAAGAATGTAATGGCAGGAATGTTTGCCAGCAGGTACATTTACTCCAGTCTTGAGCATTCTTGGTCTACACATGTGATTCTAAATGCCACATGCAGGCCTGTATTCCAATCCCCTTTCATTTCTCCTTTTTATAGACTGGGCTCTGCCACCTTCTTTCCACTATTCATATAATTGTGTTCACTGGAATGTGTGACATATTTTGTTAGCAAATAGTTCACTTTCCGCGTCTTTCTCTTCTGAGTTAGAAAATAAAGCACGTCATAAGATGCTTGAAGGCTGTCACTATGAAGTGGGTCCCCATCCCCATCTTGTGCAACAGAATGTAGACCTCCGCAGGCTTTAAATTTTTTTAGTTTACTAACAGTTCCAATCCAGAGAGTCCTTCATTCATTCACTCATTTATAAAATCTTTTAAGCTATTTTAGACTTTCATGAGGAAAAAGAATTTGAAGGTTTACTGTTTCAGTGACCAAAAGATGATGATTGGGATAAAAAACATCTATATTAGTTTGTTAGAACTGCCGTAACAAGCACCAGAAAATGATTGGCTTAAAAAACAGAAATGTATTTTCTCACAGTCCTGGAGTCTGGAAGTCTGAGATCACCATGCTTGAGGTCCCACCTTGTCCTGTAAATGACTGTTGTCTTTCTGTTTCTTCACATAGTTGTCTCTCCATACATGCATGTGTGTGATTCCTCCCCTTCTCACCGCCACCACCCCCCAAATCTTCTCTTCTTTGGACACCAGTCCTAATGGATTAGACTAGAATGAGTTCATTTTAACTTAATCACTCTATAAAGGCCCAATTTTCAAATACGGTCACTAGGGTGTCAAGATATGAATTTTAGGTGGACACAATTCAGCCTATTAACACCACCCCAATTTGGATGAGACTGCAGGAGGACAACTGATCAGGGACAGTAGGAGAGCAGTTAGGCTTTTTTGTTTTGTTTTTAAAGAAAAGCCAAGAGGATGAGTTATCAGTGGAAACTATGCAGTTCAATGCACAAGTGCTCACAACTCTAACGCAAACCATTGTCTTCCTCTCCTCATCTCATGAGCATGCCTTCCCATCCACTGACAGCCTCCTGTTTACCAGACTGGCACACCACCTCATCACAATTTCCAGGAGAGGACTCCCAGGTGTAGGAGCAAATAAATGAAAATGGCCTGTTGCAAATCCAAAATATCTTTGACATCATGTGGTTTAGCATTTTTCAATACATGGACATTGAAGATACTTTTTCATAAAATAGCAAAGGTTGCAAAAATAGAGAAAAATTTAAATATTCAATCAGTTAAAATGAATAATTAATTAATATAAATAGTGTTAAATTACATGTCACAACATCCAGCTGTCATTCCAGGAAGATGGGACAAGTTCACCCAACATCCTTATACACCTCCTGACACACAGACTACACCTCTGGGTAACATACACCACTGTTAGAGCAGCACCACTGAGGCATCACATTCAGGGAGAGAAAGCAGAGCAGTCAACATCAACTGCAAAGAAAGAAGAGTGCTGGACAGTCCTTTGGGGGGGCTAGAGCAGCTGCTTGTTCACTCACCCAATTCATCCCTCAGGATGAACTTTTCACTGATCCCTGGAGAGAGTGTAAGGATCATCTACACATCGTGTTTTCATGAACAGCCATGATATTTATGCTGCCCTATCTTTGCTAATTCAGAGCTAAACATCCTATCTTTGAATCATTTATTTCCATTATCCTGCCATTTCACAACACTCACTTGTGAAATGTATTCAAAGGGTAGTTTTTTTTTTAAAGACACAGGGAAGTAACACCTTGGTTTTTTTTTTCCCCTCAAATTTCATTGTCAGTTGCTTATATAGCTATATGATTTGGGGGTTACATCTTCACACATCCACATGTGCACATGCTTCACTCACCTGCCACATGCCAGTGTCCTCTCTCTTCCCCCACCCCTCCTCTCTCCCACCCATTCCCTCTGGTAACTAGTATATTTTTCACAGGTCTAAGAATTATTTTTGCTGTGCTTTGCCAGTTTGTTTTCTTTCACTCATTTACAAATGAGTGAAGCCATCCAGTGTCTGTCTTTTCTCACTTAGCAAATCACCTCAAAATTCATTTTTGTTCCAAAAGGCACTATTTTACTATTTCAGATAGCTGAGTAGTAGTCCACTGGCTATATGTGCTACAACTTCTTTATCCAGTCATCTTTTGTGGGGCTCTTAAGTTGGTCCCATGACTTGACTATTGTGAATAATGCTGCTATGAACATAGTAGTGCATCAATAATTTGGCATGAGAGTTTTCATATTCTTTGGATAAATACCTACCAGTGGTATTGCTGGCTCATAAGATATTTCCACTTTTACTTTTTTGAGGCATCTCATGCCATTTTCCATAGAGGCTGCACCAAATTGCATTCCTACCAACAATGGGTGAGTGCTCCTTTTTCTCTACACCCTTACCAACATTTGTTGTTTTCAGTCCTTTTGATATAGGCCATTCTCACAGGAGTGAGGTGAGATCTCATTGTAGTTTTATTTGTATTTCCCTTACAATGATGTTGAACACTTATCTGTAGGCCATCTAAATGTCTTCTTTGAAGAAGTGTTTATTCCTTTTGCTGATTTTTTTTTATTGTTGAGTTACATATTTTGGAAATTAAACATTTGCCACACTTGTGATGTGAGAATATCTTCTCCCAGTCCGTGGATTGCCTTTTTGTTTTTGTGATGGTTTCTTTTGAGGTACAAAAACTTTTTAGTTTGATATGGTCCCATTTATTTTTGTCTTCTCCCCGCCCCTCTTTGCTGTTGGGGTTGTATCCCCAAATATATCTCTGTTGATGTCCAGGAGTACATCACCTATGTTTTCTTTCAAGTGTTCTAGGTTTTCAGGTCTTATATCCAAGTCTTTAATCCATTTTGAATTACTTTTTGTGTATGGAGTTAAATAAGGATCTGGTTTCATTTTTTGCATGTGGCTCTCAAACTTTCCTAGCACCATTCATTGAAGAGGCTTTCCTTTCTCCATTGTATGGTCCTGGTTCCTTGTCAAAGTTTAACTGTCTATATTTGTATTAAAACTTCAGTTCGGAACATGATCTTTTAATGTTCAAGATTGTCAGGAGTATTTGCTTCTATAATAGCTCTTCCATTAAAACTCCCGGCACACATCATCTACTAATTTTCCCCCAGTAACAATAAGGTGTTATGTCATATAAAGCACGAGGTGGCTCTGATTAGATGGATCCATATGTTTAGAGAAACTGGTTTTATCTTGAC